GATTCCTATATTGACTTTTGTCAAGCAAAGACCTCAGTTAATAACAGGCAGTCTGTGGTTTTGTCGGCTCACCTGTTGCCGATTGTCATAATAGTCTCAAGTAAGTTAGTCAGTAACAGTTGTTTAAGTTTGTCAAGACGTTGTTTTAGTTTATTGTTGCAATAACTGAGTCTTCTGTGACATTCGTTTCTCTGCGCTTTGACCAGACATCTGCAGGTGGATTTGACGATCTGGATGGCCTCTTGTGTGTTCAATGGAGACTTAGTTAAAGTCCGGCTGGAACGAGACCTTGGTCTTTGCAGCGGTGGTTGAACCAAAGTTGTTGGCACATTTGTCTGACAGTACAGTATAGTGTGATTGTGCGGGTGAGGGTAGTTCTGAAAAGAACTGTTGTTGGTGACTGATGTTTCGACAACCTGAGCAGAAGTCATCTTCGGAGTCAAGTGAATAATTGTTCGTCAGTTGATGATGTTAAAAGTCTGGTCTGTTGAACATGAACCAACCTACTGAAGCTGACGCAGCAAACAGGAACCCAACACCTGTTACTACAGTGACTATACCTTACATTAAGGGCACTTCTGAGACCATCCCATGGGGCTGTAGCCCACAAACCTACAACTACGTTACAACACTTACTGACCAATGTTAAAGACAGGGACGAACCCAACCACAGACAGGGAGCACTTTACAAGATCAAATGCTTCGACTGCCGGGCTTCCTACATTGGTGAGACTGGCAGAAACCTTAACACGAGACTGACTGAACACAAATGAGCGACCATCAAGTGACAAACCACAACATCGACAGGGACTCTGCTCAGAGCTTAACCTAAAGTACAAACTATTTTCAACGACTGACTCTGGAAAGCTGGTACACTAACCTAGAACAAATGCCTCTAAACAGATGTCAACAACTACTGGCACCCTACAAACGACTTATCCATGATGGAAACAAATCCGACAAACAGACTTCTAACAGACCAACCTAATTTGACTAACAATAGACGGACCAAAAACCAACCAATTTGACAAGCAATAGACATCAAAACTGACCAATGACTGATGACGAAATTTACACAAGTCTTTCAGCCAATACCATCATGACTAAACTGACCAATCACGTTCAATGGACCAGACTTATAACATCATCGACTGGCAAACATTATTCACTTGACCCTGAGATGACTTCCACTCAGGTTGTCGAAATGTCAGTCACCAACAGCAGTTCTTTTCAGAACTACCCTGACCCGGACGATCACACTATACGAACTACCTTTGTGCAGCAGCTTCAGTAAATTAATGAACTGCTCAACATCTGCATTGGCTTGCAGATTCAGCAGCGTTTTTCGCTCATGATGAAAGCCCAAATGCTTGCTGAAGTCACTGAAGTCTATGCCGTTGAACAGGGGTCCATTATCACTGCTTACTGACACAGGTATGCCCAGCGAGGCGAAGGTATTATCCATCTTTCGTATCACCACCGTGGCACTCGTAGGGGTGGTAAATTCTACTTCTGCCCATCTAGACTGCTTGCACACCATAACCAGCAGATACACTCCAGTATGAATGGGGCCCTGGAAGTCCACAGCAACATCTTTCCATGGCATACTGGGCAATGGGTGTTATGCGCAATGGCTCTCACTCCTGTGACTCAGTCACTACTTGGCATGGGTGGCTGTGCTGGATGTGTGCCTCCACCATTTTGTCCAACCCTGGGAACCACACTCTGGTGCACAGGTACTTCTTTGTCTTTGTAATGCCTTGGTGGGCTTTGTGCTCAAGCTTCAGAGGAATACTCAACCCCACCTTATGCTGCAGAGCGTGATGAATTACTCTTCGTGCACCTTGGACTACCAGCACTGCTATGACAGCCAACTCCATGAAAATGGGGTCATACTGGAGCTCAAGCACTCTCTTCTCCTTCACCGTGAGGTATCCTCTAGCTACGGCTTCCTTCAAGTCCAACCGTTCAGTGTCTGTGTGTGTTTCCTCTAGCAGCTCCTGCCAGGTGACTGCTTCAGGTACTGATGATTTCACAATAGCCATGATATCCTTCTGAAACTCTTCCACAGTCTCTCTTAGCTCAAATTCTTCCCTGTTCTTGCTGGCCTGGCTCTATTGTGCAGCCAGTGGTTCTGGATGACATGAGTGATAATCTGCTTCATTGTTCTTTAATTCTTCCTTAGTATATAGTTGTGGCAGTAGTTAAAGCCTTGAAGATGGACCCGCATTGTCTCTATGCCGAGTGGTGCAGTTGCTCCGTACCAGTGGTTTCTGGTCAGTGTCAACATCAAAGGCAGCAGCCGTGCTATGCACATATATTGTATTTATTTGTACTTATTTCACTTCATGTATTATATTGCTCACTGAAAAACCTTCTAAGGAATGTACAATAAAATTTTATCTTATCTTATCTTATATCTGATTGGCAAAGATACAAATAAAACAATTAAGACAAGTGATAAGTCTGTGTAGTTGCCATATGCTAATGAGACAAAATTTTGACCCAATATTATCTAAGTTCTTTTAAGCAACCACCTCCCATAAGCGACCAACTAGGCTTGACATTTTGGGTGGTGGCGTAAGGGAGGTTCCATTTTATCTGCTTTCAGTATCCATAAGTGCTCATGAGGGTTAATCACTGGCTGCCATCTCTTGGCCTCTGCATCGTACTGCTTTATGGTGGTTGCCATTCCACCTGGTCCCACATCAGTTTTCAGTTTTGTCCTTCTCCATGGATCAAAGTATGCCATCAACATGTCATCCGTTAGCATTTCCTGGACCCATTCAAATGACCTTTGGCGCTCTGGTGTAATCCTTGAGCACTTCTCTCATCAGTGCAGTGACTTGTGTAAATCCCTCCATAAAGTCGGCAATTGCTCCAGCAATGAACAGGAAGGAGTGTATCTCTGTTGTTGACTGCGGGGGTCCTCCTGCCCTTAGGGCTTCTACCTTATCTGGTCCTGCTACCTTTAGGGCTGCTACCTTATCTGGGTCTGGTGATATGCCTTCCCTTGAAAAAGCCTTTCCAAAGAACTTGACAGCTTGGAGGTTGAGACTGCTCTTCTTCAAGCAAAGCTTGAGCTCATGTTCGTACCACAGCTGCTGTACATGTCTGGCGTTGTGCTGAAAACTAGGATGTCAACCCAGAAATGCAGCCTTTTGAAACGTTCGAGCCCTCTATGCATGTAAAATGTGGTGAGCTTCCTGCATTCCTCTGCCATCTCTAGCTGCATATAGCCATCCTTCATGTCTAAGTGGGAGAAATACTTGGCCCCATTAGTCTCTCCTCCAGTTCTCTTAAGGTGGGAATGGCATGTCTGGTTCTCTTTATGTACATTGTCATGTCCAGGCTCACCCTGATGTTTTCTCCATCTTTCTTTGGGGTTAGGACAACATTGCTGCACCACTGCATTGCTTTACTCCCTACATCTTCAATGATATCCATATAGTATACTGTGGCACCTAGTTTCATGTAGAACTACAGTAAGTTGTGTTTCATAAGTTTTATTTGTTCACTTTGTTAATACTTGAATTATTGTACAATGCATTTAATAGGTTTTGTTCTTGTTACTTACCAGTATAGATACTGGTAATAATTCTTGTTTGATGATTGCGCAAGAGTTATTACAGTGAAGGAGAATGGTATGGGTCCTAGCAACAATATTTTATTAGAACTCTAAGAACTATTCAAAAGAATTTACTCTATTATTATTTTGTATGTTCATAGGTAACAAGAACAAAACATATTGAATGCATAAGTAGAACAATTTAAGTATTAACAAAGTCAACAAATAAAACTTAATGAAACACAACTTTTGGCAGCTAAACATGCAACTAGGTGTCACAGTATACATTGTGAAGTAGGTGATCAAACAAGAGTTATTACAATCAAGGAGAATGGAATGGATCATAGCAACAATTTAATTATACTGAACAGCTTTGTGAGAACTACATTGTATTCAAAAGAAGTTACTGTATCACTTTTTACAATAACTACAGAAATTCTTGTGCACTCAGTGGCTAATTTTTATTGTCAACAAGCATACAGACACATGAATTTATAATTTGTGCGATGCGTCAACAAGTCAGAGTGGACAATTTGACAATTTGTTATCGTAAAAAAACAAATTGACCTCAGTTTTTTCGTGCGTCTGTCCTGTTATTGATAATTACCAATAATTTCCTCATAACATTGTCTAAGTAGTCTGTGGATCCACTCTGCTATCGCCTCGTGAATCCACAGCTACTGTCGCAATGTCATGATGAAATACATGATCAATAGTAGGACAGACGCACGAAAAACTGACGTCAATTTGTTGCAGTGCAGGGTTCTGATTTCCTGAAAAAGATTTGTTTATCCTGCTATAGAAAAGACAATTATGTTTTCCCCTAGAGCTAGAGTGCTCAATACTCCTTCAAAGTGGCTCAATTATCCCACAATGGGGCTGACTATTCCTCAAAAGAGACTCAATCATCCCACAGTGGGGGCTCTGTATTCCTCATAAGAGACTGGATCATCCCACAATGGGGCTCCGTATTCCTCATAAGAGGCTTGATTATCCCACAATGGGGCTGTGTATACCTCAAAAGAGGCTCGATTATCCCACAATGGGGCTCAATATTGCTTAGAAGGGCTCAATTTTGTTATTGAGGTTCAGTTAAGTAAAGATTCAAGTAACTTTTCCTCATATGAGGCTTAAGAACTTCCAAATTATGGAGTATCAGCAAGTGCACCTGTTGCTTATGGAGTATCAACAAGCATTCATGTGGTTTAGCAAGCATCGTCAAATCAGGTCGGAGTACTATAGAAATTTGTTGTACATATCGACTTAAAAGCTGAAGAATACTCTCATAACCTTTCATCTGATCGATTACAAACAAAACATGAAAGCTGTGATAAGTTGATGTTGTAAAATATATTATAAAATAACTGAGCTACTGCATGTGTTCTCATTGGTCAATAGGTGTGTTTAGATGAGAGTATGTAAACATGGTTGTGATGTTTTAGATTCATGTGTATTTTTGAGAATTATTTCATAAAAGCAGTAGAACACTTTTTCTGTGTTTACAAAGCCTTATCTAAACACTCAGGGGGCTGGGAGAATTCTTGAAAGTTATGCAAACCCAAGATGTAGTCTCAGGTTTGCATAACTGTCTCAAATTCTCCCAACCCTTCTCATGTTTAGATGAGGCTATGTTAACATGGAAAAAGACCTCTACTGCTTAAAAGACACTCACCTCGTTCAATCTCAGGGAGAAGCTGATACAGAAGTGAACCACTCCGCAAGGAAACCAAGATTTTTGTTGGTCATTGAGGATTATTGGCAAATCATCGTTGATATGAAGTATTCCCGAGAGACCACAAGATATATTTCTGTTGTGCTGATTGGCTCCGACGTACACTCTATTGTTACTTACTTACTTTCTGGAAAACTCAGACAATGGCAATAGTGACTGCTGTGCAAGCGCAGAAGTCACAAAAATATTGGCATATCATAAGTGTTGTATTACACCCCTACCTCCCCATAATGACCCCCTCTCTACAATGGCCACTTACCACTGTCCTCAGGGTGGTTGTTGTTGTGGAGAGGTTCGATTGAACTATCAAATTGACACAAAGACAGAAGTGTTTTGGTCAGTGCATCAACATAGATGAGTAAACATATTGGGAATCTCTTGCCAGGATTGATCATAATAAATGGAATAAAGCATTCTCTGGTAAAAGTTATCTGAAAAATAATCTTTCAACAGCCAGTCTACTGTCTTCAATGGATAGAAATTTGTGATAAAAAGAAACATTAAAAATTTGGATATAGAAAGTAATTTGCAGAGATAAATAAATTTATGCAAATTTGTAACGTCTCATTTTATCACATTTGTACCCTCACAAACAGTAGACTGACGATCTTAAGCTATATTTTTAATAATTTGTACCACAGAATGCTTTATTCAATTTTAACGTAGGTAATGTTTGTGATAAAACATGCTTTTTGGTTGTAGTGTTAATTCTGCTCTACTCTGTGTTGTTTTCTTTTTCAGTTAGGTAAGATTGGTGATTTCTTTACTAAAGTATTGCTGACTTCAAAACACAGAGGTGCTTTTGAACTAGCATACACTGGCTTTGCTAAGCTTTCTGCTGTTTTGTGGAGGTATTGATTTATACTTGCCTACTAGTATTTCCAGTACCATTCACTGCCACTGGTTCTACTGCTATTAGTACTGCACTACTGTTGCTGCTGCTAATACTAATGCTAATGCTAATGCTTACACTAACACTAAAGCTAATACTAATACTAACACAAATACTAATACTAATTTGGGATAATTTCCTTTTGTTAAATCAAGTGTCAGATTACAGTTCTATTCCCACAATGCATTTTTCCCTTGTAAGTGTACAGTTCTTTTTTAAGGAAGGACATACCACTATTATAGTAGGTGGAGGGCATTTGCAAGTATGTTGAGGTGTGCTTCTCTTGGGGGGTGGCAGGGGTGGGTCATGTGGACTGAACGTAATATGCAAACTACACAGGAACAGCTTAGACAGGAATGTATTTTTCTTCCTTTCTGTGTACGGGCATTTTCCTATCAGAACTTTCTTTGTTCATTATTTTACAGCTGGCCAGTGTAAATTCTAATGAGTAGAAATTACTTGACCCTCCCTTTGAAAATAGTGGCCCTTATCCTTGACCCTTACCCTTTACCCTCACCCTTGACCCTTACCCTTGACCTGCAACCCATGTTTTAACAATGCTGTCTCTCTCTTGATTTCCTACTATGAGTGAGTTGGCAGGTGTGTGAATATCCACCAGTAATCAGTTGTATTACCAATATATAGCTTCGTGTTGCTTTCCCATAATCACTTAATGAAAATGACCAAAACGCCACCAGGATGCTGCCCAAATTCCTTCAACCATGCTGTTAGGTGGCACTGATTTTTAGTATTGAGTCTCCTATAAGTAATTTGAAATATTCTCCTTCAACTCTCTAGAAGTACAGATACCGATCTTTGCCAATTACCAGAACACTGGTTGTGGACTTTATTACAGGACCTTGGCAGTGCTTTTCCCTCAGAGACTTTGTGTGGTACAAGAAGGAGTGCTGGTGTTCCATTTTTTATTCAGGTCGGTATATACTGTATATTAATGCAAAGTCTCTATGGGGCAGTATAGGTCTTTGAGTTCCATTTTACTCAGAAAATGTTGTCAGTTGTTTGCTTTTATGATCCTTCTGTCCTTAACTTGCTGCTAACTTTTTAGTGAACCTGCTGAACAGTGGATAGAGATGTTGTATTTACCTGTACCTTAAAGTCAAAATCACAGTTGCAGTAGATTAGCATATTTGACCAAAAAAATTTTTCCCTAGTATTGTGACTACCTTTGTATTGTAAGAGTCAAGACCAAGTGCTCAAAAAGGTGTAATCTCACTATTACATCTTGTACTCAAATTAAATGTTGTTTTCATAATGTACCCTTGGGAGTGTGAAACAATCACAATGTTTGACCACAAGTCATTACCATACACAGTCACCTCAAAATTCATAAAAAAAATGCTGCTATGAATGTTTTCTCCTTTGATGGATTTCAATCTGAAGAAACTCATAGAGCTCAACTATGCTTTAAAGTCCCATGAGTTTTCAAAATCTCAGCAAGTTTTCTTGAATCTCAGTGAGATCTTGCTGACCTGCTCCCAGTTGGCTTGACAGCTCAATTCATAGAGCACTGCATTGGTATTGCAGAGGTCATGGGTTTGAATTCTGTTTGAGTCTGAATTTTTTGCAGGCTTTAATTTCACAACTGCTTAAGAATGACTGACTGTTGAGATCGAGAAACATCGGTCAACAACCCCTTTGGCATATCGCTCATTTTTTCACCCAAAGATACCCTTGGGTGACCTGTTCCTAAAAATCATATTTAAAGACTCCTGCAAATTTTTATTTTTTAGAAATTTGAGAAAATTTAAAATTGTGGTCAAAGTGCAGTTTTTCGTGTAATAAAATGCTCGAAATAAAGTGTGAGGATGAAGCGCTGCTTAAGTCTTAAATCAAATTCAGTTGACTTTAAACTTCACGCAAATATGGAACAACCATTCTGATTAATTTGTTGTTTTGAACTAATCTCAGATATGTTGATATAGTGGTTTTCCAAACCAGCTGAAAAACACCTATGAGGTATGTTTAAAATAATGACAAAATATAGGTCATGTTTAACAGCACAAGAATGCAGCTGGTGCCTCTTGTTTCAATTATTTTACCTTACAGCCTTAAAATAATTCAACATATACCATACCACATTTCATGCTTTAACTCACAGTATTTCCCTTTGAGAAAAACGAAAATCTATGTCAATGTGTTGCATGCAAATAACACAATATTTATACACGCACAAGAGACAAAACAATTTTAAGGGCAAAAATAAAATGCTATCATTAATTAAAATCCTGTCAATTCATTGCTTGCATAGGAACATAATGTCCACTATATAAAAACTGTTTCTAGACATTTTAGAAACATTGCGCTTGTGGCTGCTTCTAGGTAACTTCACCAGAAGAGTTTCAAACCCAAAACGACATTTATGCACAGGTAGCGAGTACTGCTCGGCGTACAATTTGCTTCCTTAACACTGAATTACATGGATGTATGATTTACCCGAGATAACAATCTGGATGACAAAAATGAAAAGAAATAAACTTATATACTAACACATTGCCAAGAAAAAGACTAACAACAATTCGCAAAAGATACAAAAAACTGTTTCTCACCATTTAGGTCTTCGGTAACACATGATACGATCCAATGGAAAACAATTTTGTTTACATCTAAGCACCACGCGATGCTAAAACACAAAATGGCGGAAAGCACGACTAGTGAGCGGTTACCTTGCACTTGAAGAATGTCTGCTGATACACAATCTGGCTGAACTGCAGCCACAGCGCTTTAACTTTGTTTAATTTCCTGTCTGCTGTCATGTCTAGTTTGTCATTTTGTGGTATTCCCTTGATGTCAACATTACTGTGAACATGAAGACATGATTGCAGTTATACACACAACTTAAGCAGTTGTGAGATTAAAGCCTGAAAAAAATTCAGGCCTGAACGGGATTCAAACCTATGACCTCTGCTATACCGGTGCAGTGCTCTACCAACTGGGAGCTGGTCACATTGTGAGTTCGTAACATACCCGTAGATGGTGAAGAATACAAGTGAATATATGGAAGACCATATATTTGAACTGCGGAGAAAGATACGAAGACATGATTGATCATTGCAATGTATTACCGGTACAACAAAAAAATCAAACCAAGGTTATCAAAAGTGTAACTTTGAAAAGTGTAGTGGGAAGTTCCAAATAAATTCTGCTTATATAAATTGAAAATAAGAAGTGCAACAGTCCAACCGCAAACAAATAAGCAAATATTAATATGGATCATTTAATCCAAAAATATTACAGGAAAGATACTAAAAGTGGTTGATTTTCTTCAATACCACTCCACATTGCCTTAAAGCACCTAAGCTTTCTGGTATAAGAATCAGGAGCCACATGAATCTGTCTGTTTTTATATATCGGCAACCGTGCTGCATGGCTCACATTCGAGACTTAGTAAAAATGTGGCACAACCGTATGACCAGCTCAGCCATGCTTTTGCTGCTCTTGCACAAATGTTCGACAGTTAGCAATTCACATAAACCAATTAAAAGTTAAACATAGTGACAGGAGATTGGAAAGCACTTTTTAAAGTTGTCCTATCCAGGAGCTATTATTTCTTGTTCTTGAATAGCTTTTAATTGTAGCTTCAGTCAAGGGGGGGGGAGGGTGGTTCTCCCAAAAATTTTGGATATCTATCTCCCACAGGGGATTGAAATGAATTTCAGTGGTCTCTCTAAATGCCAACATTGAAACACCAGAGGATTCCCGAAATATTACAGGGATCGCTAAGCTAAATAATGTTCAGTTTAGCACCGCTGAGTCAATTACCTGTTGGCAGGCGCATTGCATTGACCATGGAAAAACAGTTAAAACAGAAAAGTGTGTTGCACTTTGTGATTTAGCATTGCCCAACACGTAATCGGTCTGGTTGTAATGTTTGCTAGTCTTATTAGATAAAATCTCTAGTTTTCTTTTGACACAAACATACTTTCTCAGCGTTTTTTTTAATTGGTGTTGCCAGTTTTTAGAGCATAATACCTACTTTTTTCTTGTAAAATATGGAAGAATCTAATAATTCTCCTGAGATGAGTTAGATAATTCTTTGTGCTGCCAAATTTCGAGCTCAATTTTTTTGATGGGCCTCCAGCTAAGAGATTTTCTAAAAGCTGAATCAGCTGGTTGAACAAAGACACTTGGAGAAGACCCCAAAAAAACAACAAACTGGTCTGTATCAACCTTTCAAGTTATTAAAGTGATGTACATGTATGGCGGAGATTTTAGAGAGCCTTTTTCAGTGATTTGGTGACAACAAAATTCCACACAAGCTTTCATTATAAAACTTCACTGAGATGACCGGAGATTGCTATTTAGTGAACAAGCGTTAGTACACTCCGTGTAAGCTTAAGTATTGTTGAGTATTTTTACAAAAATAAAGCTTCTTATCATAAACAGAGACAGCTCAATTGGTGTTTCCTGTTGTTGTTTTACATAAAAAGTATAATTTCTGCCTTTGTAACAAACATAATGTCTTTTGCCAGTGTACTCTACTTTATTGTACTTTACTCTGCTTTACAGTACTCTACTGTACTGTACTGTATTCTATACGCTATGGTATGCTACGCTATGTTCTACACTGCTCTACTCTACTTTACACTACGCTTCTGTACTGTACCCTACTCTACTGCACTTTACTATAGAGCATTTTCACTGTCACGCAATATAAAATAAAATCAAAAACTATTCAGTGGATAAATTCAAGAAATTGTGATATTATAGAAGATAATAAAGAAGACACTTCTCCAAGGTTAAGGTGTGTACATTGTCCCAAAGTTGAGATATTCATCAAAATGTTCTGTGCAAATTACAGAACCTAGTATGGAGCCGCCATGTTGGTGTTCCTCTATGAGACACCAATATGGTGGCTGGAAAATAGTGTGAACATCTTGAACTTAGTTTGGCTATCTAGGACACAGATTAACTGCACTGAACAAGCAAACATTTAAATAAGCACTTTTCCAAATGCTTTAACGTCTTAAATGGCTAAAAATCACGAGATAAATACATGTTTTTTGACAAACCCGATCATAGCTTTATGTCACGCACCGCCATAAACCTGAAATTCAAAATGCACTGGTTTCCAAACGATGACCGCTATTGAGCCGGAAATTGCAAACAGATATAAAATTAGTACCTCTTATGCCTGATGAGGATAAAAACTCTGGTGGCTGTTTAGTTTTGGATTTAAGAATTTGATGACGTCATGTCACCTCTATACCGTATGCTACTGTTTGTCTTCAATTCTTTGAAAAACTGTTCCAAATTTAAACTTAACAAACTTTTGAGAAATGCTTTTACCCACAGCAATTAAGAATTGTTTTATGCTTAGCGTGCGTATACTGAGTGATGGATGCAGGTGGGAAGTTTGGAGACCACAAGAGAAGCATAAAAGTTGTTTGAGGCACAGCCGAGAGCAACTCTAGCTTCTTGAGTGCTCTCCAAACTTGCAAAGTGCATCCATAACTTGATATACGCACAGCTAAAAGCATGAAACAATTCCTTTATAACACAACAACAACAATTTGGGTGCTAAAACATGTTTTACTTGTGATTGAATACAAAGTTCTCACAATGCATGACAAAGGATCTCATTGGCTGGTTATAAACATGTCACAATCAGCTGAGCGACAGTTGAACAAGAATGCCTCATCTGGTCTCAAATTCTCAATGAAAAAGTCGTTTCTTCTTAAGTGAAAATGTAGGCAAACAAAGTCAAACTTCTCAGTGAAAATGTAGACAAACAAAGTCAAAATACTTAAGTTTTAGTAAACACTGTTAGGTTGGTAAAAGTCAAAGACCGGAAGTAGCAGGGTTTGGATTGTTGAAAGCAATGTTCACATTGCTGTGTACAGTGCAATTTGCGAAGACAGACTCCACTCCAGGAAACTTACAGTTTTGTTGTGAGCCACTACAACACTGTTATTTTGACAAAAAGTAGT